TGTATGTATGTAGGTATGTAGGTATGTATGTACGTATGTATGCATGTAATGTATGTCTACATTGTGCTGCAACAAGAAATGCAATGAAATGTATGCATGTAGGCATGTAGGTGTGTGTATGTATGCATGCATGCATGTATGTATGTATGTAAGTATGTAAGTGTGTATGTATGTATGTATGCATGAGTGTAATGTATGTATGTATGCATGTATCTGTGTAATGTATGTATGTATGCAAGTATATATGTATGTGTGCGTATGTATGTATGCATGTCTGTCTGTATGTATGTATGTATGTATGTATGTATGTGTGTAGTGTGTTTTGTGTATGTCATGTAGTGTCATGTAATGTAATGCAATGCAATGTAATGTAATGCATTGTCATGTATGTAATGTCTGTATGTGTGGCTGTATGTATGAACGTATGGATGTATGTATGTAATGTAATGTCACGTAATATAATATAATGTAATGTAATGTATGTATACTGTATGTATGTATGTATGTATGCATGTATGTATGTATGTATGTACTGTATGCATGTATGTATGTATGCACGCATGCATGTAATGTATGTATGTATGTATGTGTGTATGTATGTATGTATGCATGCATGCATGTATGTACGTGTGTGTGTATGTATTTATGTATGTATGCATGCATGTATGTATGTATGTAATGTATGTCTGTATGTATGTATGCATGCATAAATGCTTGCATGCATGTATGTAATGTATGTATACATTGTGTTGTAACCTAATGTAATGTAATGTAATGTATGTATGTAAGTATGTAGGTGTGTGTGTGTGTATGTATGCATGCATGAATGGATGCATGGATGCATGTATGTATGTAATGTATGTATGTATGTATGTACGTCTGTATGTATGTATACATGTATGCATGTATGTATGTAACGTATGTGTGTATGTATGTATGAATGCATGTAATGTATGTATGTATGCATGTATGTACATATATATATGTATGTAATGTATGTAATGTATGTATGTGTGTATGTATGTATGTATGTATGTATGTATGTATGTATGTATGTATGTGTGTGTATGTATGTTTGCATGTATGTATGTATGTATGTATGTATGTATTGTATTGTATGTAAGTATGTATGTAATGTATACATGGTGTTGCAACGTAATGTACTGTACTGTAATGCACGTAGGTATGTAGGTGTGTGTGTATGTATGTATGTATGCATGCAAGGATGTATGTATGTATGTATGTATGTATGTATGTATGTATGTATGTATGTATGTATGTATGTATGTATGTATGTATGTATGTATGTAATGTATGTGTGTATGTATGTATGTATGCATGCATGCAGGCATGTATTGTAATGTAATGTATTTGTGTATGTATGTGTGTGTATGTATGTATGTATGTACTGTATGTATGTATGTGTGTACTGTATGTATGTATGTATGTTTGTATGTAATGTATGTACGTAATGTATGTATGTAATGTATGTAATGTGTGTGTATGTATGTATGTATGTATGTATGTACCTATGTATGTAATGTATGTAATGTATGTAATGTATGTAATGTATGTATGTATGTATGCATGTATGCATGTATGTATGGTATGGGTATGGGTATGGGTATGGTATGGTATGGTATGGTATGTATGAATGTAATGTATGTAATGTAATGTAATGTAATGTAATGTAATGTAATGTAATGTAATGTAATGTAATGTATGTATGCATGTATGAATGTGTGTATGTATGTATGTATGCATGTATGAATGTGTGTATGTACGTATGTATGTATGTATGTATGTGTGTATGGGGCCCTGCCTGGTAGAGAATGTCCACGATGCACAAACAAAGGGGCCCTGCGCTTTTCAGCGCTACCTGCTTTGCAGCAGGGTCCTAGCTTAGTTTTCAAAAGAGGGGTCCTGCACCTTTCGGTGCTTACCACCTTTCGGTGGGGTCCTATTTTTTTTTAGCCCTGCCTCTTCTTCCAACGACAGTCCTTAGAGCCTTAGTAGTGGGTGCCTGACAGGTCCTTAGCACACAACCCAACCCAACCAACATGCCCATTAAGCCAGAACCCACCAAGTCCACTTTACTTTCAGGATGAGGGACATTAATTTGTTTACTTGGTTAATTCCTCGATTTGTGGCCTGCCCTCCCCCCCCCCCCCCACAAGAAAAAACATGTGGATTACTGCACATACAGCTTGAACTACAGGAAGCAAATGAGGTTGTGGGCTAACATTGAACCATGGAGACCCAGACCACTATGCAAAGGGGATTGTGGAAAGGTGAGAAAGGGGAGACACCTTGAAACTGCTCAACAGCTGCCTTGTGGGAAAAAGGAGGTTGTGGTGGTGGATGCATGAAGCATAAGCAGGAAGAACTATATAAAAATACCTACTGATTTGATTAGTGATTTTTGTTATATAGTTTGGGCTGAATCATCATCTTCAGAATCAATGGGTCTTTGTGTTCAGCCTCTAACAAAACAATGTAACAAAGAAGGGTGTCAACAGGTTTGAGACTCACATAAAAACCAGAATAACAGTTCAACCCCAAACTGTCCACCCCTGGCTGGCCACATTCTTCCTTTTTAGGGGATGGGGGACCCGGGAGGGGTTTGGTGGGAATGCACCCTTGAACGGCACTTTTGCATTTTAGGTTGGCTTGTGCTTCATTTCCAGAACTAGACTTAACCCCTGTGCCATGTGCAACAGCTTTTTCATGTGTGTGTGATGGTGCGTTTTTGTATTGTAGGGTTGCCCGTGTCATCAAAATAATGAAGACCACTTATGCTCCTTCAAAAGCCAGTTTGAGGGTTCTTGAGCACCCACCACTTGGGCTTTGAAATAGTCAACGGTTTTGAGGGTTTGTGCTCCAAACAATGCTATTAGCATAGCCCTGTCGTCTTTGCTCTGCTGTATTCGGTGCATGACGGGGATGCCCAATTCATATCAACCTCAACCCACACCAAACTCTTTATAGTCCCAACTCAAAATATCCTGATTGGCATCAGCATCTTTCAAATCTAGTGGAATCACACTGAAACCCAAATCCTGGGCAACCCTAGCAACACTACCTGTTCCACTAAATAACTCCCATAATCTCATATGAACAAAACAATTGAGATACTGTTTTTTATTATTACCATGATGCGTGTGAGGTAGTGAATTGAAAGCATCAATGTAAAACATGGTATTTTCATAGTTTGATAAACTCTGTTTGAATTGACTCTTTTAAAACGATTTGATGAGACTTACTCCTGATGAGGTTGCAGGTGATTTCGTGTTCTGTTTGATACAGTGATTTGTGGAGGATTTGATACATTAATTCTTGAGATGAACTAAGTGTTGCTAATGCCCAAGTAGTGAATGACGTCACTCTTTCTGGGAAGAAGGGGCTTATTGAAATTTCAGAAGGCCCAACATTACATCCGTCTTGTGTGTCCCTTCCCAAACCCACTCCCCGCTCCCCCCTCTTGTGCACCTTGATGAGCAGCTTCTCCATTCAACTTAAAAAGAGGGTGCTCTTCAGTGCTTATGTGTGTACCTGCTTTTCAGTGGATTGTGCTTGAACCTTCAAATCACGGGGGCAAGGGGGGCAAGGGTGCCAGCGTGGGAACAAGGTGGAGCCAGGGCACAGGCACCTGTCGATGGGAGCCAACATGGGTCAGAAGTCAAGTAAAGCATAGAGCTCAATTAGACCAACTTCCCATCACCTTCCCATGTTGCCCACCACCTTCACATGCACACTTCAGCCTAGCAAACAAGTTACATGTCAATGGGCCAAGGACAGGAGCCAGGATTTCGCCTTGTGGCAAAAGTCATTAGTCTTAGTGTGTTTGACATGGTACTCATGCAGGTATTCATGCATGACGTGCCAGCCGTTGAACAGCACATGTTTTTGAGAACTTCTGCCTTGGATTGCACTGGCCACATGCAGCATACCATTGCAATAGGTTTCTGACATGCAGTGTGGAAATATTGAGTGAGCTGGCAAATAAGTAAGTTATCAGGGTGGAAGTTTCTGCTGTCATATGTTTTTCCTAACTGCCACTTCTCCATGAACAAACTGTCACTTCCAATGAACATGGATTCTTTGGGTTTGGGCGCTTAAAGCTGCTTTCCAGGACCTGGACTTCCAGGTCCTGGCCAAGACCTGGAATGCCAGGACTTGAAGATTGCGCACTTCAGCAGTGAGCCTCCAGACGGATCCCTAGAAGCCCAGAACCCTTTGCGCAACCCTGACCCTGAACCCCTAAACCCTAGAGGTCCAAACCTAACCCCATTTAGCATGCAATCCCTGCACTGCAAGCCTCCCTTTTACGCCCTCAATCTTCCCGAATACTGAAATGCAAGGCTTGGCCCACCTTTTTGCATCCTGTAACTACTACGCCCCGAGATTCCAGAAGCCATGTAGGGGTTGCTGAACGTTGGGGTTTCCACGCAGACCCACCCCTGAGCCCTCCAAGGGACCCCTGAAAGCCACTGCTGAACGCTGCGAAAGAATCCCTCCCATGAACCTTTTTCAACGGATGACCTTGCTAAGTGCAGCAAACAATAACCACTAGCCATGAGAAAACTGCTCAAAGTAACCTTTCTGAACCTCAGTCATCCTAGTACCCTTCTCATGCTCACTTCAGAAGTTTGTTTCCTATCATGGTAGCGCTAGCAATCATTCCTGGCAAGGCTGCCTGCAGCTTGAGTCCAGGGCGCGAGGCAGGGGAAGCACATGTGAACATGTGCAACCCATGTCAGTTGCTGAAGATGAGCAGTCCAGTGCGCATGAGAAGCCATAACCAAGGCTGTGCTGCGCTGCCGTTTTGCTTCACCCACCCAGAGTCTAGGATGGTTGTGCTGTGTGCTTCAGGCTTGATGGTTTGAGCTTTGCGTTGTGGTCCACAACTTCCCAAAGCTCCTCCATTATGCAATAACAATAAAGGCAGTGAGAAACATGCTGGAATGATAGTTGTACTGCTAGTACTGCTCATTCTTGCCATGGCTGCTGAAGAACACGATTTCTGCCCTTTGTTTCAGTCTGCAAGCTGCAATCTGCGAGGGCTTCGAGCAAACTATGGCCTCCCAGTGGCAAGCAGGGAGCTGCCAAGCGCCTCAGCATGGGGTCATGTTGCGAAGCTTGACCGCCAGTCACTGGTGGAGGCTTGGAGGACTGGCAAGAACAAGGTCTCGTTCAAACCACGGCGGGACAAAGCGCACCTGGTCTTTACCATCGTTGCTCACAAGAAGCACAAGCACCGTTGTGTACACCAGTGGCTCCTGTCCCATGTGAAGTTTCCTGCTCTCCTGGTTGAAGAAGTTGCGATCGTCGTTGTTACACTCACCGTGGAGGTTTTGGAAGGCAACAAGTCTGGCCGCGTCACCCTCACAAAGCTGAATGGTGCCCAATGGGCGTCTATCACAGCTGACCTGAAGCTTCCTTTGTCAACAGTGCGTCGTAATCTGCTCAATTCTGTGGAGCCTGAGCTTTCCAGGCTGCAAAAGAGTCGGGTGCGCATTACTGGCTCTTCTAAAGGCAAGGCAGTGGTTTTGAGGGGCAGCAGCAGCTTGCGCAGCATCGCCCGCCGCATGTGAGCATCATTTGGCAACACTGTGTTCATATGGGTTTGTCCCAAAATTAGGGCACCCCTAAAATGGCTATTTTCCTTTGTCATTTAAAAAAATCCCAAAAAAGGTACCGTCAAAAAAAGACACTATATGATGGGCAATGGCAATCCGGTGCAGCGTCAGCCGGTTTCAGAGCTGCGCAAGTTTTGAGGGGCAGCCGCAGCCTGCCTGTGCAATATCACCCGGTGCCTATGAGCAATGCGGCACAAGCATGCGAGGAGAAAAGAGACTCAGTTCATGCAAGTGCCTTCTGCCACAGCAACCTTGGTCTTACTCCCTGAACCCCACGTCTTCAAAAGTCCGACAACCCAACCCTCCTAGCACCCTTCACACCCTACAGTAACCCCTGACCACTCACTGAGTGAGCTTGTTGCTGACAGGTGGCAGCAGCTTCCACGACGCGGCCGGCCAGGTTGAAAGCGCGCAGACATGCAATGAGGGCCATCGTGCTGTCCAGTGCACTTCCTACTTGTTTTGGGGGGGGGGCTAACGCTTTTGTGTTTTGGGCGGCTTGGGAGGTAGGATTGCTCAAACATGACCTTAAAGTGTGTGTGTGTGTGTGTGCACGGGTTCTTGCCCATCCCAAATCCAAGACCTGGACTTCCAGTTCAGGATCGACAAAGTGCATCGGAATCGATCCTCAGCCCTAAACGATGAGCCCACAATACCTGTCAGACTTAAACCTTCCAGCCCTTCACCCCCCAAACCCAGACCTTCTCGCACTAGATAGGTGAAAAGAGCCTCAGTTCATGCAAGTGCCTTCTGCCTCAGCAACCTTGTTCTTACTCACTGAAAACCCTGACCTCTAAAGTCAACCCTCCTGGGACCCTTCATCTCCAGAACTTGGAAGCTGAATCCACACCCTACAGCAACCACTGAATAAGCTTGAACTTGTGGCTGACAGGTGGCGCAGCAGCTTCCACGACGCGGCCAGGTTAAAAGCACGCAGACATGCTATAAGGGCCATCATGCTGTCCACTGCACTTCCTACTTGTTTGGGGGGGGGGGGGGTAACGCTTTTGTGTTTTGGGTGGCTTGGGAGGAAGGATTGCTCAAACATGACCTTAAATTGTGCGTGTGTGTGTGTTTGCCCATCCCAAATCCAAGACCTGGATTTCCGGTTCAGGATCTACAAAGCGCATCGATCCTCAACCCTAAACGACGAGCCCACTACTACCCGACTTAAACCTCCCAACATTACACCCGCCCCCCCAAAACCCAAAACTTATAGTTCTAGACATCACCAGTAAGTTCCAAGAGCAACCAAGGCCAAGTCATGTTTTGTCATTTTTGAGCTGATTGTTCATAAAGACTCTGGCCGCAGACACAAGCAAATGAAAGGACCATTTACAAATGAAAGTACCAAATACCATGGCCATGGCTTCTTTTTGGCCATGTTGGTCCAATGTAGTAGGTCCCTAAGAGGCAACTGAGTCCTTGGGAGTCGTTTTTTTCTCCACGACCTTTGAGGTCTTTGAGGGTACGGCCCGCACATTTCGGGCGGTCAGGCCGATGTTCTGTACCATTGACCTTTTTTCTGCCACTGGGATCTGCTTGGGGACTTGGGGCTCCGCTGCATTTTTCAGGAGAGGCATCACTTTGGAAGGAATCCGTTCTAAGAGCACGTGGAGTAGGTGGGGTCTGGGTTTCTTTAGTTTCCTCCCTGGATGGTACAAAGTATTGTACCAGTTGGTAGGTGGTTGGTCCAAGTATTCATTGGGTTTCATCCATCCCGGCTGGAGCAGGATGTTGGCCATCTACAGCATGTTTGGCGGGTGGGATGTTGTTTTTGGTTCTTTCCAGCCGCCTTGAGCTTGGCTCCAGGTGTGCAGCGGCGGCTCCAACGCGAGCCTTTGTCAAAATGTGTGGCTCGTCATCGACCTCGAGGAGAAGTTCACAGTGACGCAGATTCGCCGCTTGGCAAGTCCACAGCGCGAATCCCTACACGCGCAAGGATGTTCACGTGTCCCTTTTCGGAGGACCTAAATATCCATTTTTGGGGAGGGTGATATTTACAGGAACGTGTAAGGGCCCGGAAGCTGGCCGAAACAATCTAGCGCACACTCAGTAGGAAGCACCTTTCGACTATGAACGTCACAAAGTTGATCCCTCTTGCGCGATACGCCTCTTCTTGTACTTGTGCAACAAAGCGCCCGGTATCAGAATGAGTGTTCAACATCCTGAACTTTGTCAAATGGCAAAATTGATTCATGTTCTTTCTTGAGACCTATCAACCAAAGGCCCAAGCAGGACCCCCGCGGGCATCAAATAGTTTGTTCAGTGACCTTTGGGCGTTGGGGCCATTGGTCGGCCTGGCCCTGGCGCTCACTCGTGGTCACGCTGCCTTGAGGCCTTTGGAACGTGGACGGCGACGAGGCGGTGAAAAAGGTGCTGGTGAGCGCGGGCAAAAGCCTCACAGACTTTGAGGCCGGCGGTCGCGTTTGGATTTTGTGTGGGTCAAAATGAAACCAGCAGCATATGGACCGACGGGCTTAGTCCTTGTTTTCATTCACCAGGCATTGTTAATTTGCCCTAAGAACCAACAGGGGATGCTCTCCTGATGGATTTTTGTTCAATTTTTGGGCAAACCGCAGCGGACGCTGTTTGGGATCCCGGGGTTAAGTTTGACTTCGACAGCACATGCGTCGCTGACAAGTCAAGTTGCGCCGTAAGCAAGGGGTTGCGAAACAGAGGGCCGCTTATAGTCGATGCACCACATCTACTAAAGATGCCGCTCATAGGGATCCCTCATTTCAGGTTAGCCAAATGTCCTGTCTAGGAAAGGAAGGAGGCCTCTGAAGGTGTACTAGCTCTACTAGCCCACAAGAAATCCGGCCCCTGACAAGAACCAACTCATGCTGTGCCGGTTCTCAAGTTCCTGATCGCCTCCCACCTGGCTTTTAATCAGCCAGCCAGCCAGAGCCAACCGATCCATCCCCGCCTCCCCGTCGCCGCGAGCACGGGTTGGGTCAGCGTGAGCCGCTCCAAGCCTTTGCAGGCAGTGCAAGTCTTCGGGGGCATCTCCAACCAGGCGCCAAGCTTGGAGAGGACATCAACTGGCATGGACCCCCCCAAAGGTGTCAGTCGTTCAGTGGCAACCTTTCCCCTCTTTTCTCGTTTGATGGCTTCCCCGCTAAACATAGTCAACCCCGAAAAGAGAGAGAGAGAGAGTTCCCTTTTTCTACCAGGGCCACTAAGCAACTGGTTTAAGGTGTCAAAACGCATCGCAGCTTGTTTGGCTCGAGGGGTGAAATTTGGGGATGTCGCGAAATAGGGGTACCGTCAAAATCTGCTGCTTTTCCTTTTTAGATATCATCCCTGCTAACCACCCGCCAAAAATCGGCCACGGGGTCTCCCAAAAAAGCGCGCGCGACACCCCCAGTGCGCCAGGCGACGGCTGAGGGTGCGGAGGCGGCGGCGGACCTGGTCTTCGACGCCCCCGTCAGCGGGCGGTACCTGAAGATCCAGGTCCTGGAGAATTTCGGCGCCAAAGGCGGCCCGGAACTAGCTGGGAACTGGGGAGTGCGGTGGAAAGGTGAGTGAACAGAAGGTGCGTGTTTTCGTGTTTTGTTTGTTTGTTTGTTTCGGGTTTTGAAGGGAGAGCAAAAGAAAGCATCACCCGTTTCAGGGCCTCCTATTGTAAGACACACCCACATGTTCTGGCAGCGACCCAACAAGAAAGAAGAACCCGTGCGTGCTCCTTTAGGCGGTCGGATGATAGGGTCCACTGAAAGGGGCCCATCTGACACTTCCCAGACGATTGAACCTACCAAGGCTGTGGTCCCTGGCTTTCAAAATGCACAACAGCCCAACCCTGAACAGTGAAAACGCGTTTGATCAATTCGGCGGTATCCCCTTGAGTGGAGATTCATTACTTTTGGAGCGAACCCCCCCTCTTAGTGTTACGGGGGGATTATTTCCGGGTCAACATTGGTGTCCCCAAATTCAGGAACCACGATCCTCCTCAGCGCCATAGCATCTGTCAGAACGGGTCTTGAGCAAACGCTCGTGAGAGAAGGCGAATGAGAGGACTTGATGCATGGTGCATACAGCAACTCGACCAGGGTCATGCGTGTGGTTGAATCTTTCAATGCTTCGAGTCCATGCTATATAGTTTCATTCGCATTTGTTGTTCGGACCCTTGTTGGGTTTGCTCTACAATCATGTTTTTATTTGGGAGGTACAAAGCCAGCTGACATGTCGGGTGTACAATAGGGGCCATGTCTAAGCTGTGGAACACATGTCCAATCGTTGCCTGGTTAACTTGCTAAACCATCCCTTGTGGTTTCCTTTAAGGGATTACCCAGGTTCATTCCCACATTCCCTACTGAGCACCAGCAAGCTAAATCTGGTCGCCAGCAGCTTGCATGGGGTTGGGCAAAGCAAATCAGACTTGGCAGGCATCAGCCTCCATCGCGCTGCCTTCTTTGGTTACAAGCGCCACGGCAGACGGTGAGTTGATCGCCGAGGGTTCCTAGGGTTTCCTCCAAACATGACTGTCCTTGGACTGACAGCCGGAAGCTCGCTGCTTAATTGGCCGTTGTAAATGGAACCAAGTCTTTTCCAGGGGTTGTGGGAGAGTATGTTGTGTGTTAGGGTAGAATAACAATGCAACAGAATCAAGGGATGATTTGGCCTCCTGTTCAATGGTACAACCGACTCTTTGGGGAGTTTAGCCAACCTGCTGCCAGATGTGACGGTTTGCTGATTTTCTCAAGGACATGCCAGTGTTCATTTACAACCTTTCTTGTTTGACGAAATCTCAGCCAGGGGTATTTGTGTTGGAGCCTGGCGAGCAAACTTAGGCACACCGCGACAGCCAGCGCCTTTTTTTTTGTGGAAAGAGACCCAGTCCTTTTGGGCATCTACTGCCTTGCCTTTGCGCCAGCGATCCCTGAGGTATCCCTTTGTTGACTTCACCAAGCACGACGGCAAGGGCTGCGGAGGCGCCAGATGCGACGAAACCGAGCTGAGAGGTTCCGCCGTGCGAGCTGGGAGTTTCCTGTAAATATACTGGAATCAACACAGAATCTCAGCATGTAGTATTGGATGAGGATGGATAGGAGAATGAAGGGAGAACTCCATTGAGAAACAGGGCTTATGAAAGAGAAAGGGACAAGATAAAGTCGTTCTAGGCTAGGATTCTGAGTGGGTTTGGAAATAATGTGAAGTGAAATGATGATGTCATAGATAAAGAAAAGCCAATTAGAAACAAGATTGATTTTAGCGGTTGAAATCTGAGAATTGATCCGCTGGGTTCGTCTCTTTCCCACTCATGTGTTTGCATGGAGTACTAAAAAAGCCATACCGTTACCCCTTTGACTGCGCCTTTTTTGGAGGGTACGGGGAGGCTGAAAGAGCAACCATCGAAGAGGATCCCCCATTTGACACATGCCCATAGCCATCTACCAGTGCAAGCCATCGATTTGGTCAATATTTCGAAGTTGAGTCTGACACAGGCCCATACATAAGCGGTCGATGGACCCAGCCCCGACGGAATCCAACAAATCACCTGCCGTCTGACGCGCGCGCGTCACTCGCGTTTCGCGTGCTTGGACGGCAGGCTACGAGTTGGAGGACCTCGCGGGGGTGGTGGGCAGCGAGGGCCTTTGCCGGGCGCTGTGCAGCAGCCGCAGCGACTGCGTGGCCTTCGAGGTGGGGAGGGCGGGCCTTTCAAACGTCTGGGCATCGTGTTTTGTTTCTTCTTTTTTTCTCCCCGTTTTGGCGAATTCCCTTCTCAGGTTGAAAGGGAGACCAAGAGAAAACTTTGGTGGGTGCCTATTTCGGCACGTTTCGGCAGCTACACCTGCAACGGCTTTTATTTTGGGGGCCTGTTTGATGGGTTCCAATAAACGGGTTCCGATCGCTTCCAAGAATCAGTTTTGTGCATTTGAAAGGAACCCATCGGTTAGAACTCTTTCAAGGGTCACTTAAAGCAAGCCCCTTGCAACACGAGGTGGAATGATATTGGGTCTGTGGTTTTTTGCAGGTACCCTGTTTTTACCGAGGGAAGCCAACTTGAAAACGGAAGCCATTTGTTGGGTTCACCTCTTTTCAGACTGACCGATTTGTCAGAGTCAGGTGATCCACAGCGGTGCGGAACGTGGGAAGTGCATCTTCCACAGCAACATTTGGATCCCGACCAAGGCTCTGGAGGACACGTGTGAGCGCGCGCCACACTTCAGGTGACCACAAAAGCGCATCAACTTGGCCTCTTGAGTCCCAAGAAAGGGCCTCTGTTGAGAAACCTCCGCTTGGTTCTTCGGCGGACTGGCTTGTTTGTTGCCTGGCAATGGGTGGAGTACCTTCCCTTTGCCTCCTCCCCTTCAACTTTTGTGTTTTTGAGGTACCCTGTTCACCTTTGTTTAAAGAGAAACTAGAAGAAAAAAACATCAATTTGAACGGTCCACCGCTGTTGCAACTACCAATAATAATATGTGCAAGCCCGGGCACCCGGGTTCCTTCGCTGTTTCCGGAACTATCGATGCAGCTAGCAGTGAGTTCTGAAAGCAAATTGCTGCAGCACATATTTGGGCGACCAATGTGCATGACAGATCATGACAGATCATGACAGGTGGTTATCAACCGATCCTTTGATCATAGATCACAAGGGTAGTTTTCACAGGGCTTTGAATCAGCACTGGGTCGGCGCTGAGAAAAGTGCTGTGTAGGAGGGGAACAAATGTGACTGTGTGCGTGTGTTGGCCCAGACTGGCTGCATGCAGCAAGGGCTCAATCAGCCAAACGGAGGCTCAGCATTAGCACTTGGACCTTTGCAGCTCACAAGCAGGGATTCAACGCGCAGGTCTGAAACGACTTGTTTGGCCAGCGGACAGGGATTTATTCAGCGTTGCAGTTGGCAGCAAGTTTAAACTAAGCACTTCAAATGCACCACTAAACGTGCATCTCTGCGGCAGATGCCCGCTCGCAAGGACGAGCGCGACTGCTTCATCAGGGACGACCAGGCGCCCAGTTTTGGAGCAGGGCCGGGGACTGGGGCGAAGACGAAGAAGGTTGGGCAAAATATGTTGAAACACTCAGACGCTGGCTTCACTTATATACGAAACACAAATACAACAAAGGTGGTCTAAACATGTTTAATTTTTGCATGTACCTGGGGGAACCTTTCAGGGGTCAAGAACGAATCACCAGGCCCCCTGCCATTCTGTTGGTTTTTTCATGCGCATCCCCCCCCCCCCCCCCTTCGCCCGCCGCACAAGTAGTGGAATAGGGTAGGAGGGGGCACTTGTGTTTTTTGTTCATGGTTCGGTTTCTCTTTGATTGGATAGATAGACTGGGGGATCCCGCTCCTGAAGTCAGGGGACGCAGAACGGGTTCTCAGAATCGGGTTCCAGCTTGCACTAAAAGATAATGACGTGTATAGCATCTTAGAGCTCATTCAATTTATTAAACCCATCTAGGTTTGTCTCAAATGAGGAGACCCCACAAATGTGTTGTTGCTTCCAAATCAAGCAACAAGCGATTCCTGCCAAAACAAGACAACTCCCCCCCCCCCCCCCATTTTTTCGTTTTGTAATTTGGGGTCACCCAGTGCGAGTGGCCTCCTGGGAGGTGGTGTACTGCCAGCAGGGGCTGCCTTTGCACGACGTGTGCTGCAGCCCGGAGTGCGGGATCTGCGGGGGCGACAAGTGCTCCTACCGCCCCGGCGGGCGCCAGGGGCTCGGAATGAATGCGGGGCCCGGGGCGGCATTGCGTGAGAGAGGTGCGACGAGTTTGGGTGACGTGTTGAATGCTTTGTCTGTCCCCTTTTGTGTTTGGGGGGTTGGGGGTTGGGGGGATTGGTCCCATCCAGAATGGTTGACCAGCATAAAGTTGAATGGGTTCTAACAAATTACATGGGTTCCCATATATACTATATATGTATTTATATAAATAAATTTGTTTAAACCACAAATGCATCATTGTCCTGTGCCAATCGATCGGAACCATTTGTTAAGAGCTTGGAGTCCCATGACTAGTGGCTGGCGAAAAAGAAGATACTATGTTCGGAAGGGGTTCATTTGTTGAGTCAATGGATGCAGCCATGAACCCCCACCCCAAATGTATCCAACTGGGCATGTTGACTTTTGCGCACATCTTGTAGGTAAACCCGGGTTCCATGGCAGCAGTCTGTGGGCCTCCAGGTGCCCATGCAAAGCTTTCAGTGACTCAGCGAAGCAAGGCGACAGATGCTGCTCTGGCACCATCCGCGGAATGAGGGACATCTGCAGCAACACCAGCGACGCTCAGAGGCATGGGCGCAGGTGCTGCCCAAACAGTTTGACCAGTGGGAGGTTGTTTGGGAGCTGAATCGCTATTAATTCTGAAAGAAACCCACCAGGAGATTGCGCATGTTTCCCTGTTCAGCAACTTTGCACCGTGGTTGCTCTTCTGAGACTGTAGTTCATGTTTGTCCGCCTTGGAATGTGTGGGGGGGGGGAAGCCCGGTTTCCTTGCAAGGTGCCTAGTCGTCCAGCAATCGAAATGCGCAGAATTCCTGCCTAGCCCATTTACGAAGCAGGCTCAGCTCTCCACCCCTCCCCGCCATGTTGGGCATCATTCATAGGATGCAGTGTTGTACGCTTCAGCTGTGGTCATTGCTTCCAGTTTTAAGTCACAAACGGAATTCCTGGATCGGGAGTTTGCGCACCTCCATCTGGGTGGAGGGCATTGTTTGTTGCGCCACCTAGGAGAGGAGAGACCCAGTCATGGGTCCAAAGGGCAGTTTGATGTTTGGTGCAATGTCTGCACACAGCGCCTCAAGTCATGTGTCCAGGTGCTCTTCTCTGTGTTATTTTTGGCAACAAAAGGGGCTGTGTCACATGAAGGATTCTCCTTCTAGGCCCTAGGCTATCCTTTTCATATCATGTTATCCCTGAAAAAGCCTTTCTCAAGGGATCATTTATTTTAAGGTTGGCATTTCTACCAGTGCTTTGGCTCCAGGCTCGCTCACTCAGGACGTGGCCTGCCGAATCCCCCGACCCCGGCGCGCCGGGGTGCCCACCCTACGCCTCACCTTCGAGCTCCTTGGTTTGAGCAGGGCGGGGGAGCATCCTATTGTGGTTGTTGCGTGTGGTTTATTGTTACTTGTCGTGTTTCGTATTGTTGTGTAATAGTGCTTCCTGAGAATAAAGCTCGCCATTGACTTGTCGCCAAGTTGCCCAGCAAATTCGAGGATTCCCCCTTGAAATGAATAGTTTCCCCACCAAGAAGGGGAGCCACCCCTTAGCATGGCCCGAAGTTGGCTGCTAGAGGGCCTTTTCGCAGGCCTTTCAATCAGGTCGAGCACTTGGACCCAGGGCGTTTTCTACGTTTGCACAAAGTTTTTGGGGTTCATGAGGGCACTCAGGGCACCCTTCCACATTGACTTGTTTTACAGCAAATCCAAAGGAGGCCAACCCATGGGGCCCAAATTTGAGGCAAGGCGGTCTAGCAGCAAAGAAAGACACCGTATGGAGGTAGTTGAAGGTTGGTTGGGGGGGACAGTCCCTGCGCATGCAGGGACATGGAAAGCCAATCCCCCTGGATTCTTTATCATTTGGGTTAGACCCCTTTGGTACCAGGGACCAGGGTCTGATTCTATTGTCGGAGACAAACCTTATTTAAGGCACTTGAGCCATCAACAGCAGCCCTTCAAAAACTTAGAAGCCTCAGGAACGCGTATGGGTTTGTTTGTTTTTTCTCCCTTTTGGGGTGGTTTGAAAGGGAATCCACCCACTTTGTTTGGGGGTTCTCCCATTTTGAAGCTAATCCGTAGAACGCCTTGATCATTTTGAGGCGAACGCCTTGTCAACTCGGCGTTCCATCTTGGATCCTTTGGTGACCACTTCCATTGGAGGGTAGCCAGTTGCTTGGTCGTGGTCCTTCTTGTTTAGGTCCCAGCCAAAATCAGTGCTACCATTGAGGGGAAGAATTCCTGGGGGGTAAGTCCTATGATGTCGGACAATCCTGCATGATTATTGTTTGTGGGCGATGGTCTCGAATACATTGCCATCAACGTGTCTATGCTATCACAATCAACCTTCCATCAGTTCTTCTCCAACTGATTTTTGTCTATGCAATTGCCGAGGTCAAAGTGTAGAATTTGGACAACAAAACAGACAGTACGTGGGTGCTCGGCCAAGTTAGTAAGTGGTCAGTAACCTGTGTTATATTATAACCCAGTTGCAACCTGACTCAAAAAGTCGGTTATACCCCACGTGGCCGACCACTTACTTACCTGGCGGAACATCCAAGTACGGTGCTTATTTCCGGTTTTACGGCTCCTTTATCCGGACATGTGATACCCTCCCATCCACACCATGGAACCGCGGGGGACACCTCAGGAGGGTATCTCCTGCCGAAAGAATATCGGATGTCGGAAGAATCATAAGCTCGGACCCAGGAACAAGCACGCAGCCCAGCCAGGCAGGGAACGGGTCGATTGTGTCGGCCTCGCATTTTGAGTAGCTTGACGGGTATTTCCGTGTTCCGTGGCTGGAGCAAGACAAGGACCCCTAAAAACCCTGTGGGCTTTCTCCTAGTCCCTAAAAAGGCTTGCCGGTGCTCAGCAGGGAATGTGGGATTGAACCTGGGATTCCCTTACAGGAAGCCACAAGGCATGGTTTATGGGGGTCATTCCCTCATTCCCTGCCTATCGCACCAGCAAGAAGGTTGTTGCTCAAAGAACACACTCCTCAGGAAGCGATCAAAAATCCCTGGTGCCACGTGGGAGCGCGAGGCATGTACCCCACCATGCTGGCTTCCGATTCGGTCGAACTGATTCACGGGTATGTGTTTCAGCAACCACCCAGGTCCAATTGCTTAAGCGAAATCAAAAACAGGTTGTTTGACCAACCACAGTTTACACATGGCTATACATTTCAATAGGAAACCACGATCAAATTCTCCCTCACTTCCTTCCCGAGTTCCTACACCATACTTCTTGAGAAGGCTATTTGAATGGTACCCAAAAAAAGTTCGGACTTCTTTTGGCCAGGCCCCCCAAATGAGTCCTACCTTTGTTTGAACCGGGAGGGGGTTGAATCCCCCAACCCCCGAAGCTCAGGCAACGAGAGCGACCTGGCCCCGAAGGGCGCCAAGGTCAGCCCTTTCGTGGCCTCCAAAAACTCCCGGGCCGGGGGCACGGCGGCCGACCTCACCGGCGCACCTCGGACAGAGAGGCTCCCTAGGTTTCCCTTTTCCACATTCCATTTGCTTAAGAATACTTGTTTTTCCCCGTTGTTGGATTCAACGGGAATCTGTCACTACTTGACACTATCTCCCTGAGAGTGCCCAAATCCTTTCTGAGCATATCCGATCAGAACCCAGGTGGCAGAAACGTAGGGGTGGTTGATGTCCACGAACAGGAGACACCCCTGGAGGTGCTCAAATTCATAGGACTTTGGGAGTGGAGGGAGCCTCCAAGCGAGTCCTTGGCGGGTTATGCGCTTGTCCTCACTGCCATCGATATGTTGTTGTTGAAGCGTTCTTGAAGATTGTTGTTGGTTCTGTTATGTGTTAGCGGGTGCTGCGCCGAACAAGCTGTTTTCCTGACATACCAGCGGCGGAAAGCGCTTGTTTGTCCTTCTTCCCCTGTTTGTTGTTGTGGTCTCCCAAAATCAAGCAACGACGGAAAAGTGACCACTGGGCAAGCAAGCAGCGGACGGAAGGAGGGGATGGGGGGGGAGTTGGCACTGGGGAGGGAAGCCATGGATGGTCCACGAGCAGGGCTTGCCTCTCGTTACGCAGAGCCACAATCAAACCCGGGAGTGTTGTTCCAATCATATAAATGGAAAAGCCCTGTTGATTTTCTTAAAGGGCTTTGGATAGACCACTGCAATGGCAAGTGTTGATCATCACTTGACCTCAGGTCAACACTGGGATCGAGATCAAAGGTTACCAGGAGTGGTTCACGCTTACCTCTACCTTCATGCTCTGGATCAAGCCCACCTTTGTCAGGAGAGGGGCGCCTATCGCCAGTCGAGCCTCTTGAGCAGGGCGTAGTATGTAAGTGTTTGGAGGTTCATGTACTGTGGATGGACAAAATCCTGGAGCAGTTGGTAGGTGTCTTATCAACCAGTATTCAAATCGGGTTTAATCCATCCTAGCTGTTGCAGGATGTGGCAAAGTAAAGTAGTTTTAGAGGGATGGGAAGAATCAAGCGGTAAGGTTCCGTGGTTACATTTAAAGATGGCTTTTACTACCCCCAAACCGCTGCCCCCCGAAAATGTATGACAATTTATGGGTATACTGATCGAAGCCTGGCGTGGTTTCATGCCACCGTCAATCCCGGCCCCATAGGGTTTGCAGGTGCCCAGTGACCCGCTAAGCATCCATAATTTTGTTTGCTACAGTACAAAAGCAAGCCAGGGACATTGCCGACCTGCACTCATTTGATTAGGTCCCTTAAGGGATCATATGTCTGTTTCCAAACTTCCTTGGGGGGTGGTTTCCCTTTCACAATTTTGAGGCAACAGACCCCATCAGAGCATTGCCAGCGTCTATCGGGTCCTTTCTGTTGTCTCGTCTCTGGGCTTGGTGGCAGCCGAACAAGCACTTCAGACTATCGGAATGTGTGAAACAGTTCGAAGCTCCAAATCGCTTGTTCTTTTAGCAACGGTCCGACTAGTCTGGACCCAGCAGTTTATGAGAAGAACCGTTTCACCCCAGTTGCAGCCTCGTTTTGATCGAATCACAGGGACCAGACCTGGTACTTTGTCTTCCGCAGCAGTGGCTATACCATGCACAACCCCGAGGAGGGCAAGGGCTCTTGCAGCTCTCCGTCAGTCGGAGAGAAAAGCATGGCCGTGATCTCGACCTCCGCTTTTTTCATGGTAGTGTGTGAAAACGGGGGCACCCTGTGATCTTTCTTTGGCAGTGGGGAATGGGTGGTAAGGACATTGTCTCTCTTGCGTCTTCATGCAAAGCCTCTCAAACACTAAGAATCAGGAACCATGCTGCCACGGTAACAACATGACTCGAAGGGTTGGCAAAGGCAGTTCTAGAACCATGCAACAGATTGCAAAAGCATTGTAAACCATGAGGAAATGCAATGACAGCGACATGATCGACATGTTCAGAGCCTCCACCGAGCCTATTTTTGTTTATGACTTGCACTGCCGCAGGTATCAAGCTTTTGGTTGAATTTGCAATTGCTTACTGAGCAAACCACAAATTATTGACCTATGCGCCATGGCGCCTTGACCAAATTCAATTACACACTGTTGAATGCTTCTAATCGTTGACCTCTGGCAAGTTATCTATTATTGGCGTACAAACAAGGCACGAGAGGCCCTTGTTTGTTTTGTTCTTTGCTCTCTCGTTCTGGCAACACGGATGTGTCGACAATCGCATCCTTGGCTTTACGTCGTGCTTGCTGAGGTTGTCGGTCCCTGTCAGTGGCTACATGCTTGTTTGCATAAATACGGATCTGCCTTTTTTGAGGATAGCCTTTTTTGAGTGGTTTTAAGGGGAAACCAAAGGACAACCACCCATATCGTGTTTTCAGAAGTTCATGTTGAGGGAAGCTCGTGTTTTTCCGACGTATCGGAGGACGGCAGCTGGGCCGTGGAGTTTCAGTGCAAGGGCAACAAGGCCGGATGTGGACCCAGAGACACCGGGATTGTGGGCAAATCGATGGGTAAAATGAGCCCCATGAAGACCCCCGAAGTAGTGTCAGGGGATTCCTTAATCCAATTTTGGAATGAATGTTGATGGGGAACCCTCCGCAAAAGTAGTTGGGTGGACATAAATCCGAGTCCCCAGTGAAATGTCATATCCATTTGAGAAGTAAGATTCATGTGAGGCCAGGGCTTGTCAGGTGGATTTCCTCAGTGTCACCAGGGCTTCAGTTGCTGTACATGTGCTGTGCAGTAGAGGACAGTCGCACAGCCCCAGCCAAGTTCTGCTAAAAATCACTCGCCCCCTGAATCCGTGGGGAGGGCGGTCGAGCAACAGCCAGTAACTGGACATCCCCGGCACTCGTTGCTCTAATCCAAATGCCACAACAAGCGCCAGAAGCTGCATTTGTTCTCAGGAAAGCAAGCTCAAACTGAATTCTCGTTTGATACTGATATTCAATTCTAATTCTAAATGTTCCATGGTTTCCAATTGTTGTGATACCAAATACATCCCTTTCAAGATGACAAAGTCAAATGGCCTGCTTATGGGGGCCGGGCTGGTTCTCTTTCCCTCAAGGGTTTTTCCATATTACACCCTGGGTGTCCTGTGGGGAATCTCCCTATTCTAGCCTATTTTTTGTTTATTTCGGTATTTTGGCTAGTTTGTACTCCCAGAGTGTAATAGGACAATCCTTGAATTCCCATGGCTTGCTCGGGCGGGGCTATGGATTCGAGGCGAGGCTGATGATTTGGACGCGGCAACCCGCGGGGCTTGGGGCAGTGGCCACCGAGTACAAGGATAAGCGGCTTTGGGAGAAGTGGCGCCTCGGCTTTGGAAGTCGAGTGAGAACTGTTTCCGATTTGGTGAGTGTCTTTTCTCCTCACTTCCTGAAATCCTGGACTTTATACTTTTTAGAAGGCCATATTTTAGCGGTAAACAGAAAGGTTGGACTTTTTTTGGGCCAATCCACTCAGGAAGTGACAGGTGTGTTGAAATAGGGGGCCACAGGAATGAATTTCGGAGAAGAATCCGTTGGTTTCCTTGTAAAGCTTTAAAGCCAGCCACGAGGAGCTACATCAAGAAGAAACACACACGCAGTCACACACACACAGACAAAATGTGTTTCATTAGTTAGTTTGCTTTTGTTAATTTAGGCTTGTAAGAGGCATTCAGAAGGGAGTCCCTGATATTTGCTCCGGTTTTCTGGAGGCCCCCGCGAAAGGACCATGGCAATCAGGTAGCTCCAAGCATCGCCAGGAAGAGCGCTACAGTTTCCGACAAGTTTCTTTGGACGAGTCCCCTTCCCTTCCCACACAGGACCGGTGTTTCCTGAAATGGGACTTTTGTTGGCCTCATACCATCTCAAAGGACGGCTCCTTATACCATCTCAAAAGGACGACACCTCATGGGACACCCGAAACAGTGCCCTGCGGCCTCCTGAAACAGGGATTGGTGGAAAGATCGATCCACTTTAGGGCCATAAGGGGGCCATACTACGCTTTGTCATCTTGCGACTCAATGGATGTTGAAAACACACATCCCCTGTGATGTTTATGGTGATGCAATCGGGGCTATACCTTCCATAGTGGGATAAATGGTTTGGTCCTTGCAATTCCCAGTGGATCCATTTACCTGTACAGTAGGCAACAAAGGGAACCACCCTTAAACAGCCCAAAGGCAAATAAAACTTGGCTACCTGCCATACCGGCTTGCCTGGGATCCACTGAGATTGGTTCCTCTCACCATGGCACTGGAGTCTATGGCATCTAAGGACACACATCGCCCGGAGCTCAGGGCCTGAGGAAGTCGCGTTCGGGCTTGGCAGGCTCTACATGGCTTGAATCCGGGGGTTTGGGAATGAACCGGAAGGCCGGAAGGGGCTCCCTTTTAAAGGAAACCACAAGGCACGGTTCGTAGGGGTCAGTCCCTCATTCCCGGAGAACCAGCAAGAGGGTTTGTGGGATCACTCGGCGACGGCCGCATTTGGTAGCTTTCAGGCACTTGACGTGGGGTAGCATCCACAAGGAGGCTATACCCCCTCTGGCGAACCTTCTTGAGGTGTTGCAGGCAGGCCATAGGTAACTTGTTGGGTATTGCCAGATGTTCTTTCCCCCTTACCTACAGGGGTCCCGACAGATGAACGGAAGGAAGCCAAAAGCAGGGTTCCCAAAAGGAGTTTCCTTCACAAATTGCGGTTCTTTTGTGCGTTCCATATTAAAAAATGCGGCTGGTGAAACACGGGTCACCGAATGTCCCCGTAAAATAAACTTGATCTCCTGATGCCCATGGAAACTGCCACAGAATACATTGATTGATCTGTGGACATTTTGTTGTACACCTGGCGTGAAAAAACTCGGGGCCCTTCAAATGACGGGTCTCCTTTCCCTGATTGATCCAAGGGTTCCTGGTATGGACTCGTTGACTGGTGTCACAAGGCTTGATCCCCAAACTCGGTCAAGCGAGCTTGGGCCACATGATGCTGCCTTACTTACTGCTGTGACCATAGCAATATGTTTTGAGTCCCGAAACTGACCCGATAGCTGCCCTACAGCCCACTTCTGTCTTCCCTTAATTGGTGGTTTGGATTTGTGGTTTGGGGGATTTCAACCCCCCAGTTCCTCTTAAAGCCCAATGGGAAGGGCCCCCGCCCCCAAGCCTCCAAAGCACCAATCCGAACCACCAAGTGGGATGCTTAAATGGGAAGGCACTTCCTAACCGCCAAACCACCTCCAAGCCACCACCAGGGAAGCTGGAATCCCTTCCATGTCGAAGCCAAAAGCAGGCACCCCCTCCAAGGAAGCTGATGGGATCCCTTCCATGTTGCCTGAGGCAGTGGTCCTGCGGGTTGGGGGGGCTTTTCCTCAGCTGTATCTCAACGGGATGCCGGAGGAAGTTGAGGCCACTCGACGTCCAAACTTGGAGCAGCCGGCGAGTGTCTCACTATTTCTTGGGGATCCAAAGAATTGGCGGCGAGCTTTCTGTGTCCCGTAAAAGCAACCCAAAAGGACCCCCGCCCAAAAAGCAAGCAGACGCAAAGACATGCATACCTGACTAGCATTACATCACTGGCAAGATTGCTTTTCAGCAGACATGCACACCAACCACTTGTTCAGGGTTTTGAGGGTTGGCCCGTACAGGGTCCCTCCAACGGGTAGACCTCACTATTCCACGAAGCTTTCAAAAGGCCACCGCTTGCATGTTGGGAATGAGTCTGATCTTTCTTTCCGGCTTGAAGGAGAAGTGAGGCTATCTATTCCAAGGCTGTCATGCCGAACTGCAGGTAAAGCAGTGAGCAAGGATATCTCAACCATCCTTTGGAGTTCTTAGCATGAGGTGTGATAGCGTCAAACGTCAGAAATTTCAGAAATCCAGATGTCGGCATCAGTCGCTGTGAGTTAGGGCCGGGAAGCCGAGTGCATTGTGTGTAGTAAGCCACCTTTACATGATATTCGGTAGCTCCTGCATGTGGCTAGCAGGAAAAATAAACAACGGATGTGTTGTTGTTCTTGTCCTTAGCAAGGTTGGTTGGTTTTCCTTTGCTAAAGGGATCAGTGAACAAGAGGATATCCCATGACCCCTCAACAGGAAAGCTAAGACAAGTCAAGCCTGTGACTCCAGACTGGCGTTAACTCGAGGACAGCTCTACACCGTGGTCCGAGCTCGAGAACATTGCCTTCAACAAGAAACAGTTCTTGATCATTGGCAAGGCTGGTTCCCTCAGTCGTGCCGCACGGTGTGCTACGCTTCAGTTTCCTGTTCACTGTGTGTCCATACAGGTTACCTGTGCTGTTACATAAATCAATCACGTTCACAAATGATGGTGATGCTTCGCACGCATGTGAACTACTCCTTGATCATTGATCATGAAATACACGACACTGGCGTTCGATGCTTTGTTTGTCGTGTCTCGGATTCCAGGTGTTGTCACTTGGTTATTACCTTTTAAATGGAGGGCCATATTTTAGGATGTTTTTGTTCTTCTTCTTTTTTTTAGGGTGGGTGGCTTTCGTTTTGTTGGCTTTTGTGGCTTTTACGTGGGTTTTTGTGGCTTTTGTGGCTTTTCATTTCGCATCCTTTGCATTCACACTTCCTCTCTGTTTGTCTTTGTGCGTTCATGCGGCTTTTGTGGCTTTGGCTTTTGGGTGGGTTTTTGGCTTTGTGGCTTTTGAGAACCTTTACTCCGACCCCCGGGAAGCTAGGTGGCACCGCTTAAAAAGGTGAATACTTGGATGGGGGGCTGCCGCCCCCCCCCCCCCACCCCCCAACCCCCCCGCTGCTTTTTAGACTTGTTGGCCCTAATTGAATCATCACTTTTTCAATCTTCATGGCGGGGGCTGCCGCCGCCCCAACCCCCCCGCTACGTTTTAGTGCTTGAATCCTCACTTTTACCATCATGAGGGGGACCCACCCCTCTTTTTAACATTCGGAGAGGTAGGAAGCCAAGCTGGTGATGCTGGGGATGTTGGCTGGACATGCGGGGGATGTTGAAGACTAGCGTAAAATATACGTGCATTTCGTAAGAAAATGCTGTATTTTTTACAGCATTTTACTAGCCAGGACGGGAAAAAACAAAACAACACATAAAACAAACAAAATTCCAAATTAAATCTCGACCCGTTTTAAATTCAAATTATTAGTTATGTATTTATGTATTACTCATATATCACTCATAATGATGTTGCGCTCCTTCAACAAAACACAGGTCCCCACAGTGACTTGATGGGTCGCCAGGCTTCAGAGACGGATCAGCAGTTTGAGCCTTGGTTTGCATTGACCGACTTATGAATCCCCAGCATTCAGAGGACCCGTTTAACTGGTTCTAGAAGGCTTGCACCAAAGGTCAATCATGTGACATGATTGACCTTTGGCGCAAGCCTTTTTAGAACCACAACAGTCATTCAAGGGACCGCCCACCGCATTTTTGCTGGGATCTCTGCAGAAAACGCAAGCTCGCCGAGCGGGGAAACACGAGCTCACCATGAAAGTTTCTTGACGTACTTTCCTTTCGCATCTTTCTGGATATGCCCAGACCTCTATTGTGGGAGTGGCTGTTTTGAGGGTACCACAAACAGATACAAAAAGACACACCCCATGTTTGTGCAATATGTTAAAGATAACAGCAGCATGCACAAGGTAGAATGCGTAGGTCTTGAGACAAGGGGCTGGCCAGAAGCTCATGTGGGGCAACTGCATTGAACGGATTGAGTGCTTGCTGCTGCTCCAAGGACGGTTACATTGACCACTTTGAGGTATATGAGGACGGGATTTGCGGCAACGCGTTTTGCCTTTGGGCTAGCTCTCTCAAGCAGTGTGCTGAAGGCACGGGTCCAGCGTGAAGCTTGGCAGGGCGTTTTGGCTCCGGACCCTTGCCAGCTTTGGTTTGTGCTGTGACCAGACGTTTTTTCGTTTGATCAACCGATATCGAACAAATTTCATGGCGCCATTCTCAACCCGGCACCACTAGTATCGGCGGCTGGGACTTGTGTCCTTTTTTCAGTGTACCCTTGTTGTTGTTGTTTTTGGTGGAAAGCAGGCCCAGTGGATCTCAGTTAGCAGTATAGTAGGTAATTAGCCAGCTTATTTTCCTTTTGGTTTTTAAAGGGTGGTTCCTTTGGTTACCTACTATACAGGTAAATGGATCCACTGGGAGCAGGAAGCCACCATTTGGGGAGTTTCGTATTTTCAGCTTTCAATGTTTCAGGCATTTTTCGATTGAACTTGTTGTTTTCAGGAGATCCTCAGCCCCCAGTTCATCCGGAAGCGCTACAGCTTTGTGGAGACAGTGACCGGCACAGGAGCCCAACGGGCAAGATGGGTGTGTGCATGTGTGTGTATGTGTTGTTTTTGTGGTTGTTTCAAAGGGACCTCAAGCGGAGATGAGTGGGCGCAGGTGTGAACTTGAAGGCCGGTATAGTGGAAAATGCATGGGTTCCTGGGTTCAGTTTAGCCCTAAACAACGACAGGTGCCACCCATTTGTCCGATTGGGCACCCGTGGGCTTGAAAGTTTTCTATTATGTTTCCGTGATTGGAACACCGTGAAACGTGGTCCGACATCAACCCAACCGATTTGTTGTGCTTCTCCCAAAGGGAGAGGGGGGGGGGGACTTTTGGTTTCTCCTAGGTTTGGCGGGACGTGTCGGTCAGCACGTCCCCTCCATTGGTCGTCGGTCGGCAGGTCCTGGTCTGCCACTGTGGCCTTATTTCTGCCGCGCTTGCTGATAGGGCCGCTGCTCGGCTTTTTCGCGACTATACAAAGCAACCCCAAATCCCAATACGGCTCTGGGGTGGGAATTAAACAAACCTCCAACCAAACCCTCCAGCCCACAGAAGGCTAACCCGAAGGAAGGGTTTTCCAAAAGGAGATGCCTCTTGGAATTTCTCAAAATTGAGTGCTTCTTTTTGGTTCCCATTTAAAACCACCCCAAGGGCGATCCAACTTTTTGAGAACCCCTCACATCCCACACAATCCATGTAGGTAGCATATATACCAACATTTGACCCATTTGGAGGGTAAATGTGGGTGTATACATGGATTGTTTGGGAATGGGTCTTTGGCTTTCGTCTTGGGACCAAAGCCGACCCCGCGACAGGAGACGAGGACGCGGCGCTGGCGAAGCGAGTGTGCCTCCCCCCCACAGATCTCACAGGCGCAGAGCACCCGAAACGTGGGTTGTGGCAAGGGTCCCTTTTCTTGGTGGATTCCAGCCATCCCGTTCCTTAGCTATTCAGCTTTTGGGTTAGTTTAGTGGAGGTGTCCATTTAACCCACTGAAAGTTACACTTTTACTAGGGGATCTGTCCAGCTTTGAAGGGTCCCAAATTGCAAGAAGTCCGAACCTGGGTGTTTAAGCATGGGGCGTGTCCAGGTGTGTGTGGCCAAACCCCCTGCCAGGTCAAAGTGTGTGTGTTTTTGGAGCTTGATGCGAGCAAACTGCAGCAAGCTTTATTTGGCAAGGCAGCAATATGTTTATGCGGTCATGGTCTTCTTCATGAATCATATTGAGGTCAGGCGCATTTGCTCCCTTACAGTGAACATAGATTAAACTCACGGTATGTGTGGGTGGGAAGCACTGCCGTTCGCCTTGACAACCCATTGAACTACAAGCAGATCCCGAGAAGTGTTGTGTCACTGTGAAATCTGTGTGGTTCCATCACTTTTCAAGCACCAAAGGGGCAGTGCTGCAGTTGCAGCAACATTGTGTGTGCCATTAAACCCCATTTTAGGTACGCAAAACAACGCGAGTAACAGAAACCTAACGGAGATTGTATTTTCAGTTTTGAGGTCGTGATTTTGGCGTGAAAAGGTTGTTAGCGCCTCCAGCTCACGAGCAGGCTACATCATTGAGCAGGGCAGCACTTTGCGCAGCTCCTTCTCCGTGAAAGCGCGCTGTGATGAAGAGCATGGGTGGCCTGTCCGCACACAGCCAGTTGGCTCTTGCATTGTTTTCTGACACATTAGCGCTAGCTCTGCTTCCACACATGCTCAGTTCGCTGCTGGCAGCAAACGTGGAAAACGGTTTCCGAAACCAGTCACGAGCAGGCAAGACGGGAGCCCTCGAAGACAGGGAGACTGGCAAGGCCCTTCGGCAAAGCTGGCGGCTTCTTCATGGCCCGCGCCAGTCAACTTCATCCGGTCCAGCTTCTGCCGCTTGCAGCGCCCGCTTGCAGGCCTTGTTGATGAAAGCGCCATGAAAGACCGATTCAGGAGCCGACCACTCACTGACAGGCTGTCTACAGGCCAGGAACCTTTGCCTGGCCAGCGGCCGGTCAGCTTGTGCTTGTTTTGGGAGCAGCGCACCCGTGCTCTCTCCAGAGTCTTTCGAACTTCGAACCCATTCCAAGAACTTGGCAAAGAGAGCCGAAATGTTCTCCTTTCTACGGGCCCTCTCACCCTGTAAGGCGGGACATGAAACCAAGGCCGAGACGGAGCCTCGACAAATGCCCGCGAGTCACGCTGACCTGTGCAAGCGATTCATTGGCAAACCGTCGAGTTGGTATTAATCATCACCCAACTGGGCAGGAGTCCGTTGGCTAAGTGATCAACGCTCCAAGTTTAGCTGCGCTCGCTGTAACAAAGGCAGTGGCGTTGGGAACTCGCCGAATGGTCAGGAAATGGCTGTCACTCACCAAAATATCATGTCAGTTGTTCCGTTGTGGCTTACACACTCGCTCCAGTAAATGCCTGCAAGGCAGAGTCATTCTTAGCGCCGAGCCCTCCAGCAAGCATTACGCCCGTCTTGAAACCAACCTCTTCCCAATTGCCAGCTTGCGTTGCCCCTTTTTGGACCCCTTTCTGCTGATGTGCATTTTTCTTATTCGACCTAAGGTGGGGTGAAACCTACTGCGCAGCCATACAGTTGGGTGAAAGTAGATGGCACAACCTCCTCAGTTTGGTTGTCATTTGTTTACTTACGGACATCTAGGAATGGCGACATCTATACTTTCACCATGTTCAGCCTCTTCTTGATGACCTCGGGTGCTTTCACCGAGCATAGTTCGCCACTATACTTGGATTGTTTGAGGAAACCAGCCACATTCTTTGACAAGCCGCCCTCGGAGGTCGCTCCCCGAGCCGAGGTTCGGCGGGCTCGCCCGTGTGACGCCTTGCTCCTTCGCCACCAAGCGCTACGTGCTCAGCGGGTGCCTGCAAAAGGAGCAGCCGCTCGGGCTTCAAGTATTTGCCGCCAGAGCGGGTGTGTGTGTGCTTTTCGGCACTCCTTTTACGATTATTGATGCCAATTGCCAATTCCCCCCCCCATCCCCCCCCCCCACCCCGGTTTGACCCACACCCGAATAGCCATAGCGGGACAGGAACAGCCTAGAAATGAAGAGTGACGAATCACCGCAGTTCCAACATTCACGGACGAGGGGCCTCTTCAAAAGGAGTCCAAAACTTTCCCGCCCACCTTCATGCTGATTGTTGGAACCGCGCTATTTGTTGTTGGTGTGACGAGAGATGTCGTTTGCTTTTTGTATAATTATGCTCTTTATCAATTGCTATCCTTTCAACCATGATCCAACGATCCAACTAGGATCATGCGACCAGCGGTATAGTAGCCTTTCTTTTAAGCCACCCTTGTGGTCTTTATCTTGGAAACCGGAGCCATGACAACTTTCCGACTCTTGCGCTATGAATGGGGGTGAAGTGGCCCAGACCAGTATCACTTGCTGACTATGTGTCCAGTGGATCCAGTGACCTACTATGCAGGCAACCAAGGGAACCCCTCTTTAAAAGCCAGAAATAAAGTGACTGGGTGCCTACTATACTAGCTTGCCAGGGATGCACTGGGGTGGTTAAGACAGCTGGGTGGGGAATCTTTGCATGAAGCCATCCTTGGGCTTGCAGGTAGCCATCAACCCTTGGATGAGATGTTCCACAAATTTCATTTGGTTCCTGTCTCCTTGGGCATGTAGCCTGATGCGTTGCCTTTGGTTGCCTCGCAGCTGTATATAAACATATCGCCATTGTTCCACACGAGGTTTGAATGTGTGTTTAAATGTGCCGCCATCGCCTCGTGGTGCACGGGGCGAAGGGCTAAAAGCCTCCACTCGCCCATACGGTCACAAGGAAGGTTTCCTTCTTCAGGGGATCATTGCAGATCCGACGTGCAATTGGAACAGCGGACCCCGGCTCTCTCGAGCACAACACGGCCCCATGCCCGCCGAACACGAAATCCAGCCACCAAAGAGGACAAGTTCAGCTTTGGATTCATAATATGGGTGCAAGGTTTTTGTAACAACATCGTGCAGGATGTCGTCCGTCAGTTTGTTTAAGGCACTGAGGCGTGGAGAGTCATATCCGAGCCCCTTGTTTTCCTGAAAGGGCAAAATCCTACCAAACAACAAGTGGGTGCAGCAGGAAAAGAACAGAAGCCCGCAAAATCAGTAGACAGCATTGATGCACACTATATTGTTGACAGGGGCTGTTGCACAGTTGGTAGTGCGCCCGCGAGCGAGTCGCTCTGCGGAAGGTCGCAGGTTCGAATGCTGCCAGCACCCGCTTGAAATCTGCCTTGGTTTTGTGTCCTTTCGTGGAGAAGCGCAGGCGAATCTTAAGTGTTGGTTTTCTTTTCAGCTTTCAAACAACCCCCAAAAAGGGACCTTTGACAAAACTTTGCCCACGCGGCAAGCTTGAGCTTTCAGTGCCTAACCTTTTGATTTCAGATTTGTTGATGTGTTGTCCATTGGTTGCATGAGCAGACGTCCTGCAACTTGGTGGCAGTTGTTTGGTTTGTCAGAACACAAAAACTGAGGGATGCCTCCAGATCTTCGGTTTTGAGCTGATTCCTTTCAACGATTGGCCCACTCAGGTGCGCACTGCACACTTGCGCTGCAAATGAGACATGAGTTGTGTACATAGGCCGTGCTCGTCAAGGTGACTTGGAGGATCCTTTGCAAGGGTGTCCGAAACGATGCGCCAGTTCGGCTGTGTGAATATTCTGGCTGCCTATAGTGAATATGGGGTTTGCATCAAGTTTGCGAGTTACCAATTTTGTTTTCCTGGGCAATTAGTAGCCTGGGCGCCGAAATTGCTTCTCGCGATTCCACTAGCTTCCGAAGGAAATTAGATTCCCCCATTCCACACGGTTGAAAACCGTGTGGGTTCCGTCGGTCAGTATTCACCGTGATTTACTGTGATAAAGAGCACGACCTTGGGTGCACTTGCCAGGAGAAATCCGGCTTCCAAAAAACAGGGGGAGTTCTCAGTAGGAAATCTGGCTTACTGAGCAACAACTTAGGCAGGGTGAATATTAGCCGTCTGTGGAGGACGCCTCTAGCCCACGAGCTTGCCGGAAGGCAGAGGCCGGAGCCAGTGAGTCAGAGCCAATCAAATGACAGCGAGTCGAAAGCGAGCGGAGGGCGAAAGAATGAAAGAATGAGGGAAGGGTTGCTCCACTGAAGGGTTATAATAGCTACGTCTTGTGAGACTCTGCCTAAAGTGTTGGTTCAGATAGGTTTCTCGTTTTTCACGTTTGCTGCAATCCGCTGGTAGAAATTGGGAACCAGCCAAACAGCTAAGTTCTTACCTGCACCAAGTGGGGTTTAGACTTAGTTCTGAGTATCTGAGTAATGGAGGTTGGAGACTTGGTTGATGCCAGATCCGGCTTTCACATGTGAGTCATGAGGTGTTCCTGTGTGGGCAAATCATAGCAACCTCACAAAGGCGGTCTTCCTGATTGCAGGTGTTTTGACTTGCAGGAAAATATCCCTAACATACCCATCAGGAGGTTCCTTGGTGCTCTTGCGGGAACCAAGTACGCAGCTGTCAGGGAACCCTCGTAACTAGCACCTCAGTCACGATGAGGCCATTCGTCCTTTGGGCCATGTGTCAGGAAATTTGACTCTTGCAAAGCTTCCGGAGGCCCATTCATTTTGATCCAGATTGAGCAACGAGAAGACGGGCACGGGGATGGGCTTGCAAAACGGATCTTTGTGAGCCATTGACCAGTGAGGTGAACCCTGGCCAGCGGCCAGAACTTCCCTTCTCACACCTTGACCTAAGAAGGGGGAAAGCCTTGCTTTCGGTGGGTCTTTGGCTCAAATGTCCGCTGAACATTCCTGGTTCGGGTTTTTCCGTGTTGGACACAGGGACCCTGTCAAGTCCTTGCGTCCCTTCCCACGGATCGGCGAACTTTGGGCCCCATCGAATCCGAGGCCGTGAAGCGAAGCATCCTGCTGCCCCTGGTGGGGGGGGAGGGCCGAGGGTGAGAGGTGCAACCAAGGATGGGATGGAATACAGGTTGAACCGTGAGTCTCATTCATGTACGTCATCAGTTGAAATTCAAGGGTTCCAAATGAGGCAAAGAGCTTACGCTTCGATTGGCCGGGTAGATATACCTAGCTCTGCACAAACAGAGACAGAAATTGCGATTTGCACAAGTCCGAGTCCGAGGGACCTCACAGTCCGTTGATCGGAGAAGCATTGCAGCAGGACATATCAAGCTCATTACAAAGGCTAGTGTCAATCAAAGGCTCGAGGTCTGATGGAGATCAGGCGGCTTTACAAGAAAGCATTGATGGTGCTGGCTTGAGAATTGAGGCATGTAGCATTTTTGCAAGTGCTGCCAAAAGGGAGCCATTTACCTAGTGCTTGATTCCCAAGACACGTGTTTCCTGCCGTGTCGACGGACCTCAGTGACCTATTGCCGTCGGCAAATGTGAGGAAGCAGGAACAGGGAACCGGTTTCAACCAGAAGAGTTGCTCCTAGTTGATATCATATCAAATCATCCCTCGCAAAATAAAGTAGCGTGGAGTTGAGGGGGGTCCCCCCGCAAAGAAGAGCTATTCAGGATCATTGAGGGAGAACCCTCTCATGGCTTCCACTCGCTTCCAAATCAGCATGGGACTGGGGATTTAGGGTGAACCTATCCCCTTACAGGAACCACAAGGGGTGGTTTTGTCGAAGCTGGTACTTTGCAGTGAAGCCTGGGGATTTTTACACACCCTGTTCAATCGTGTTTAAACCACCTCCTGGGGTTTGCCTTTCAACTTCCGTTAGAGAAGATCAGGGAACTAAAGGGACCCTCTCAAGGGACTCTACATAGGGCTCTTTTGATTTCCCCAAGGGCCAAAAGGCAAAACCCGCAAACGGCTTCTTTTTGGCCGGATTTCCTCCATTCTTAGAGCCTCAGGTGGCGATCGTTTCCATGGACACCACCAGTAAATTGCAACCTTAGGGGTCCTCCAAAAGTGGGCTTTCAAGGAAGCCGCCTGTCAATTGCAACCTTGTGGGAAATACCCTGTGATTTCCTTCTTTTTTTTAGGTTGCAATTTACAGGTCTGTCCAGGTATGGCCATGGCTCAAAACCAATGGTCCCATTTTGGGATAGGTGCGCCACCCACAGAACCTATTCTAGCGGGGATTGGTTGATGTTCACTGGGGCTAAACGATTTGGATGTTGACCCATGGCCATTCGAAGTGACGGCCATGGAGTCGCCAGGCGCTGGCCCTGGTGGCCCTCCGCAGCCTCTGCTTCCTGCCCAGCGCATCCTCGGCGACCCGGGTGTCCCCTCAGCTGCGGGCGGCCGAGGCAGGCGTTCCGAATGTGGGGGTGGCCTTTCCTCGGCGCCCGAAAATGGGGCTGTTCTAAAGTACACGGAAACTACACATTTTTCAGGGGTCCCCTCATTTTGAGAAACGTCCATAATATGGAGTAGAATCTGCATTGTTGTTTCTGGTGCACTCTGGGGTTGGGCAAAGTATGAGGAGCCTTGGTGAAACTACGTGTGTAGCACTTAGGAACCTTAAATTGTTTACGGCAAGGTCCCCCTGAACACCTAGCGTAACCACAGCTGGACAAGGGTTTTGTCTCAAGAATGGCGCGGACCCCCCAAACAAATGCTAGTCCAAGATGGGCAACCCAAAAACATGCGCAAAAACATGTGGCTTTGACCCCCATTCCCCTTTACATGGGCACTTTACAACCAACCAAAAAGCACGAAGCGTGGACCCAAATTCTGATCCAGGAGCTACCATGTGAGCCACGGTCAAAATGTGATTTCCCCCAAATGGGAAAAGTTAGGGCTAGTCCATAGTAGGGATTTGGACTGCGACGACTGCTGCTGGTTCGACTAACCAAATCAGAAAAGGGGTACCCGAAAAAAGAGACCGCTGAAGTCAGCCATCGGAGACTTCATGGGAACCTTGTGGGAACCCTCCCGGAAAAGTCGCCCAAACCGGAATCTCCAGACTAACCCGGACGGGGGGTTCCCTTGGTGCCACCCCAACCCACCCCACCCCCACCCCGGAAGGCGAGTTCCTCGCCCCAGCGCGTGTCTGTCGCTCGTCGCTCGCAGGCGGCGGTGGTGGGCAGCGGCCTGTCGTTGGTCGCCGCCTCCCCCGCGCTGGCCACCTGGAGCGAGGGCTCCGAGCCGGGCCAGAACATCGACCCGGCCCGGACGCCCAGCCCGGGGATCCATGCCGGGGGGGGGTTCTGTTTGCTGTGTTTTGGGCGGGGGGGGGGGGGGCAAATCCGAAAGAAGAAGCCACCCTAAATATTGTAAAATGTATGAGTGTATCGATCTACATCGACATATATGCAACTATGATGATGTGTATGTGTATGTATATATATATATATCTACGTGAATGCCAGTCTATTTGGACTGTTTGAATAGATGGTTTTTCCCCTCCCCGGGTTGTGTTTCTGTCTCGCGTTCGAGGACTCCACCGAGTACTACAACCGCAAGGCAAATTTCGGGCGGTTTCGGTCGCTTTCGTATCGGGTGGGATCTGAGGCAGGTGACGGCTGGTGGGATCTGAGGTCTACTGGGAATCCACTGGGCATCTGAGTTTCTGGCCACTCAGTCACCGTTATGCTGCGCATGGATTGCAGGCAACGGTCTGCCCTTTGACACGTGCCCATGTTCAGGGCTGCAAGCATTGCAGGTTTGATTGGACAATTGCGGATGCCTTACAAACATGCCCTAGGCTTAGACGGGAGCAGGGGAAACCAACAGCGAGACAGCCCAGAACATGTGGCTCATGCATGCTCAGTGTGAGGGGATTGAGCATAAAATCCCCTGTAAACCACAAACACCCGTGGACATGGGGAGATTCAACAAGTATTTTCTGTGCCTCATGTGCACGGCACGTGGCCTGGGGCAGGTCCTGAACGCCACGGCCGTGTGCCTCACCTTTGCCGTCTTCTTGTTTGGTCTCCTGATCAGCCAGGCGCAAAATGAGCTGGGTGGATCTGTCCAATGGGATGCCGACTTTACAACGAGCTCACCGGGGCAAAGGAGCTCACCTAAGAAACCCAATGATGATTTCACTGTACACACCAACAAATGATGGTTTGCCATAGTGTCAAAGTTGAGGGTTTTTTGACCATCCACAGTATGATGTAGGTCCTTATTTCGGTTTTGGAATTGTAAAACATGTGGATTATTGAAGTCCGAAGCAAGGGTTATCCAGAAATTTGCCACGTTTGGGAAATGACTTTGATGTGATGAGGGTCCCGGTTGGTCAAAGTACTGTCATTGCCGCCTTTAGAGGTCTCCAAAACGTTTATGGTGTGAGCCCTTCGTGGGGGTCCTTTTAAGGCCTCTTTTGAAAAGCACTGGGGGCTGAGGAGCTGAATACTCCAAGCATCACGCTTTCCCCACAAAAAGTCATGAGGGGATGGACAGCTGCGCTTGTTCAGTTCGCCAGTTTTACACTCAGATTGCGCAAAAGAGCTGGATGCACCTCTACGCACATGCGGCATGAGACCGTCCGACCCTGTCCAGCTCCAGTATTTTGCGGCTGGGTTTTGAGAGGAACACTGGGTTTTGACGCGGCCTGAAGCTCTCCGCGCATGTGCAACGGTTTGCTTGTTCGGGCACAGAACACGTGACCACGACAATATGCATAGCTACACCGGGTTTCAGTGAAGACTGTCCCAGGGCTTTAGTACAATCTGTTGAGCAAGTGAAATCGAGAGTACCACTGACCGAAGCCTCGATATTGGGGAAGATCATCCACCGAATGCGATCTTTTGGCATTCTGCCTCACGAGGATGCCCTGCAACCAACATGAGACTCGTGGGAACTCCGTGGAACAGTAATGTCCGCATTCTAGGGACCGGAAGCGTCAAATTCCAGGTGGCAGGGATGTCATGTTTTTCTTTGAGACCCTGAGTCATTTGTTACACGCGAATACTGCTTTCTTGTTGCTGATAGCAGGTTGACCCACCATTTTCTTTTTGATGTTCAAAGGCTCTAGAAAACGGTTTGGATGCACTTTTTGTGGATTCCACCTGTTCTTCCCCCTGTTGCTCCCTTTTGAGTACTCTTTCAATACTCTTGTACTACTCTTTCAATACTCTTTTAGTATCCTGCAGGGTCGGATCCACAAAAGCCACATGCAAACTGTTTGCTAGAAAGACTGGCTCCCTTGGTTACCGGACAAATCGAATGCCTTCAGAACTTCAGATTCGCATTCGAGAGGCTCGCAAGCTGGTGGAGAACAAGTGGCTGAATTGAGGGCCGCGGCCTTTGGTCCAAGCCAACCCAAGTCAGATGCACCCGGCTTGCTCTGTTTTTACAAGTCCCATCCGAATTCACTCGCACAAATCAACTAGGGGACGAATGAGAAAACATGCCAGCCCATGCAAGTGGTGTGACAAAGTGCAAATGTGTGCAATGAAACCCATGCTTGAAGACACCATGAACAGGAGTTGTCATTGTCTCCTGATGCTGCCGATTGGCTCTCTCGCTTGTGGAACCCAAGCAACACGTTTTGTGAGTCCTTGATGCCGCAATGAATTGCGTGCTGATGCTGAAATGTGTGGATGGATTCGTGACTCATTGCGTGTGAGGCGAGACCGAGACGAGCGCAGCACTTTTTGAGACTTGGCTGGACTAGTTACCATCATTCCAAAGTGTCCACGTTGAGCCGGTCTTAGTTGTTGCCTAGCATTGCGCGTCATTGTTTGATCCATCCGTCGATCCTGTTCTTGTCGGGTCATTTTGGCCGCAGATCTCACTTCACAAGCGTTCAAGGCCACATTTTGACCGGCACCTTTTGGCAAGCATGTGTAGGCTGGGTGCCCAGATGTTATGTCCCTGCTTGGTTTTGCATAGACATTGCCTTGACAGCTAAGGTTGTGTTTGTTCATTTGCGCCCTCACTTCCCTAAGTTTTCCTCCCACCAAATAACATGGAACCTGACAGGGGGGTCCTGGAAGACGATTGTCCTTTTCAAGGGACCCCTTGTCACGTTCCATGTTAATTGGTGGGAGGGTAATGACCGTCAAGCCTGCTGATTCGAAGGAGACACTCAATCCACAAAGCCCGTCAAAACTTGCGCGAGGTTGGAGACGTTGAACGCGCATGTGACAGCGCGTGGCAAAATGAATAGAGCTGTGGAGAGCTGCCCGTGAGTCAGACATCGGATGGTTTTCAAAATACTGACTAGGCAATGGTTTCATCAACATGGGTCCAGCATCTTGAGAAACTGCCAATGAAAGCCGGGACGAACAACCCGTACTTGGCTGATAGGCAGGCCCTTTTTTAGCGGCAGCGAATATTCATTTGGGCAAATTTGAGCTTGCCTGGATTAAACGAGCTCACCCATGAAGGTCTCGTACTTAGGCATTCCTTGTCGGTGTTTGCGTCGCTTGTGTTATGCCTGGACATGCCTCTTGAAGCGTGCTTTGCAGAGCCCGGGCACAAGAGCTTGGATAGAAAATCCTCGTGCGTCGGCATGCAGCTTATTCCGCTGAGATTGTTTGGCTAAAGAAAACCAAAGCAACACGCAGCCGATGGACCTTGTCATGAGCCCAGCCAGATCCTAGAAGGAATCCCGAAAGCAATGCCGAGATTAGAGAGAAAGAGAGAGTGAGAGAGAGAGTTATGCACAGCCATATGGCTAAGATTGACTTACTCGCGGTACGAGGAGATCTTGTTTGCTGCCCACTGCTTTCTAAGAACAGCCAGCTCGTCAACATTGGGATCTGACATTTGGCACTGCAAGCACTCATCCTCAGCATCGGAGCAGACCTGACTTGCGTCTCGCAATTTTTCCGGCGATGCTCAGTGTGCCTTTGAGCAGTGCCGCTTGGCAAACAACTCTCACTCTTGTCCAATGGCCGTTTGGATCCATTTGGCTTGCAAGTGTTGGCTCAGCTTGGTCATTGCCCCGAAAGGTGTGCTTGATACATTGCTTTATGGCTATTTTGTTGGATCTTTGGACTTTTGCTTTTGGGAAATAGTGGATGTTCCATTGAAGCACAAAAAGTTAAAGCTTCAGAGGGGTCAACAGCAACCAAGATTGGGTGTTTCAGAGAAATGAGCAACATGGAAGTCCGCAAACATGTTTTCTTCAGCCTTGGTTAGCTTGGCGTTTGCTATTTGTCCCCCTGCTCATGTCATGTGTTCCATTTGACCTGAAGTTTGTTTCTTCAAGCGGGCAACTGAATTGGAATGCCAACTTCTATTCAGTTTCAGCTTGGTTCAGTTGCAATCCTTGGTGCACGCATAGCCATAGAGGAAAATCACAGATTCTGTTGCGATGATGAAGGCAATCTCCTGGATTCTCACTTGCCCAAGGCTCACCTTTCGACATGTTGTTTTCCCCATGTTGGTCAATTTCTAGTCATGGCCCCAAAAGGTGATCACCCTTTTATTTCCAGGTCCCGAAGAGGCGGCTGAGGATTGGCTTGGTTCATTTTCTGAGACATTTCCCTCCAATTTGCTGGCACCTAGACTTCCACTGGCAAAGAATCGAACTCGGCCCAGAGCCGACCGTTTCGGGATCCAAATGACCTCAGAGGAGTGCCGACTCAAAGCCTTCTGAACAAACGTGGCCTCGAGCTACTGAGCAAACGTCATAAAGAAGAATGGTTGATTTGGTATGTGCAGGGTGCACAGAAGAACACATGCATCTGAAGTCGAGCTGCTTGAGCTTTGCTTTTCCCATCGATTCACTTGTCACAATCCCAGGTGAGTCTCTCATGATTCACAGTCTCAGTCAGCGCTCCGACGAGTTTGCTAAGCAACAGTTGTTTTTTTTCTAGGCATGGGTCAAATGTGATCCGAGACGGGTCCTCATCTTCCTTCGTCTTCCTGAGTCCATGTTGCAGTGTTTCGGGTTCAGCTTTGATTCGGATCAATCTGAATGCCAACGCTCACTCAGCCAGCCCTACACCTGTATTCTACCTGAAGGCTCCAAACCCTTAAACCCCTAGGCCCCCCAGCTTTGAACCCCTGCAGCTGAATCGTGCAGGGGGAGCCGTCAGCGAAAACTTTCTTGCTAGGTTCGCCTAAGGCAGAAACTAAATCGTATAAATCGTCACATGCCATGGGTCGAGAAGTTGCTGAACTACCATGTGCGCTGTCCGTCCCATTGATGCCTACCACGATAGACTAGAGTTGGTAACAAGGGCTTGCTCCCTCAAACTTTATGTTTTGATGCTTCCTCGGTCACCTAGCTGTGTTCAATATTGCCCTCCAGGTTGTACAGGTCTACACTAGGGTGAAAGTAGATGGCACAATTCCATTGTGGCAAAGGAAAGGGAATGACTAACCCCAAACAGGGAAATTGTGCCATCCACTTCACCCAACTGGATGTGACCGTTGGGATTAATTCGGAGGATCCTAGTCGGAGAACCCCCCAAAGTAGAACCCTTCCTTGCAAAATGGGGTTCCCCATCCTGATTGGCACGGTGCTGCGGATCAATCCAAAGTCAAGATGACCCCTATGGTAACCAGCCATTGTTCTTCCGTTCTTAAAGGTTGGTTCTGGTCCCGTTCGGCGCAGGCTTCACAGGGACATGGGTCGCATACCCTACACTCAGTCGCTACGCCGCTGGCTCGGAGCCCTTTCGCCAAGGTGGGCCCAGCCCTCCGATTTTCGCCCGCACAGCGGGAGCGGGCCGCGGCGGCTTCCGCCGCACGGGCGCCAGGCGGGTGTGGCGTGTCCTGCAGCCTCAGTGGGCATCTTGCAGCGATGTTGCTATTTCTTCCCTGACTTGATCTTTTGGGCGGACGCTTGTAATTCAAGGGACTAGGTTATTACACATGACTGCATGCTCTCAGCCTGACGTAGTTTGGTTCGAAAGTCCCCCGCAACACCCCATTTTACTTGTTCAGGCCCGCATAGTAGAGGAGGGCAAGTTAGAAGGCCCTCACACTGGGTGAGGTTTGCGACCTTACCCATGATGTCTTTCTTGCGAGGCCCTTATTTTTGGTTGGAGAATCATGAGAATCCACCAAGCAATCCATCCAATCCGGCAAGTTGCGCTCTTATTTGGGGCAGGTTTCCCTTTGAGAGCAACAAATAAGATTTCCATGTTTTTGTGGTATGGCCAGAAGTCTTGGGTCCACCCGCAGGAATTCCGCTAGGCGCCGAGCGAAGCGCGCGACGTGCGCGCCTGATCTCGGCCGGGGCCAGCACGGCCGTGGCGCTGCCTCTTGCGGTGGCCGCGCAGCGCAGGAGCGAAAAGGAACAGGGTGCTCTTCCCTAATTATGACATGGGATTCTAGAGCAACCCCGCGAGGGTGCCCTCAGACAAAATGGCCCCTTTCCCCCCAAAAAAAGCAGTGGACTAAACACGGGTGCGTTTTTTGGACTTGGTATCCCCCGCCCCCCTGCCTTTTACTGGTTACAGGGAAACCAAAGGAACCGACGCCATTTGGGTGGCCCAACCTTACGCCCACATGGACCAGAATCAGAAAGTATGGTGGTTGGCGTACCCTGAGGTTGGAGCCAAGAGGCTTCTTTTTGAATTCAAAGCTGTCCCTTCCTTTTTATATCCACAGCGCAAACAAGAAAATAGAAGTGGTTTTCTTTGAATTCCCAATGTTCCCATGTTTTCCCAATGTTGTTCCCCATGGTTTTCAATGTCCCCCCCATGTTTCCCATATTTCCCCAATGCTTTTCTACATGGCT